CCTCTGACTCCATCTCAGCAGACTTTCTGAGGATTATCTGAGATTATGTGTGCAAAAGAACCACTGCATTCCCTGGCATATAATGGACACTAACTAGTATCTTGTGCTTCACTTTCATTCTCCCTTTCTCAAATGTAGGACCCAAGGATGCATGTACATTTCTGTATTTAGTTTGAAAATTTCCCAATAGATGAGTGAGAGCTGGCTTGTCAGCACTTACTGTCCGGGGGATCTTGGATAATTTTTTTGGAGTTGGTATTTACAAAAATGCGATGTAGTTTTAGACCTGATTATTAAAAATATAGTGCCTGTACTATAGGATATAAAAATCTCTTCCTGTTTGGACTGGTCAGACCATGTGAGGAGTGTGTTGTGTTCAGTTCTAGTACTACACAGGTTAGGTAAGCTTTTAAGGGCCACACTGCTCATGTTTGAGGCCTGGCTCTGCTACTTAAAAGTTCTGTGCCTCTAATACACAACTCTGTTTCCTATCTGTAATAAGGGAGGTAATAAAGGTACCTACCTCCTAGGGTTGTTGTCAGGAATAAATGAATTATTAGGCATAAACCACTTAGATTAACGTCGGGCAAACAGTAAGTTCTATGTGAGTGTTAGCTGTTTTGGAAGGGACTTCAGAGGAAATCCACAAGGATGGTGGGCCGTGTGGGAGCCATGTTGTGGGAGAAACAATTGAAGCAGTTAGAGATGTTTAACCTGAGAAAGAAGTACTGAAAGCCCTTTACCATTTAAAGAGAAATTGTATGGAAGAAGGGATAGACTCATGTAACCGAAAAAGGGTGCAACTTGGATCAATGGGTAGAAATTATAAAGAGCCTGATTTTATTTTAATGAAAGGCTTTGTAACAAGGAGAGCTGTTCAAAATTGCAGTGAATGGCTTTTCGAACTAATGAGCTTTCCATCTCACAGAGGCTTATTAGAAGGCTGGGGAGAGGTTCCTGACCTGGCTGGCGAGGTGAGCTAGATGACAGGTGTTCTTTTATACCTGGCTCTCAGTTCAGGTCAAGTGACTGGCTTAAAGTAAGATAATTCCACATTGAAATTTGCTGTGGGTAGCAGGCATGGATACTTTCTCCCTAGACTTCTAGTCTGCTTTTATGGTGTATTGTTCATTTGTGGTGCCAGTATTTATTGTGGGAGACATTTAGTTTCTGGTCTCATTTTGCAGAAAAGAAAACAGAGGTCAGGGATACTGTCTGCTATTGCTTGACACCATGGAGTCCCTGAAGGAACCCGGGGAATTATGGTTCATTATTGTTGGGAGGGCCATTCTCCTTGGGAGTGCTGTTTCTGAAGTTCTTCTGAGCAAAGCACCGAGTGCCCTTTGTTTTAGGCGGTCTTGTCAAGGATATGTATTTGGATGTTTGGAAGATAGAGATGATTTCTCCCTGTAGAAGAATGGGCAGGCATGTGTCCTGTCCAGTATAAAAGATGGAGTTTTCCATGTTCGGGTTCCTCTTTAGTCACTCACAGCATGTACAGGCATAAAGTTGGGTCAAGTTGCCTAACCCTCATGGGACTTGGGGCCAAGGTGGGGGGCTACTGCAGATATGCCGGTGCCCTTGCTTCGTGCTGTGCTGTGAGTAACAAAGTCCTTTGTTTCTGACCCACGAGTTTTGTGTCTTCTAGCAGCATCCACGAAACTCTGGCAGGCTAACTTGTTAGCTCGTGAGTAGGATACAAATCTCAGACTCTTAATTCTTGACGTTGAGGAGTAAGTTGAGTCAGAGAGGTTAAATCTCATGCCCAGTGCCAATGATCTAGCGTTTGGGGGTGTGATAGAATTTGAATCTGTGTCTCCAAAGGACGTCCTTTGCATGACGTTGTGGAACGCTGCTGTTGCCCTTGCGGCTCTGACTGCTAGAGCAGTCTGCACCAACCACCGCCATTCGTTGAGTGCTGATGATCTCCCAGGCCTTGCTGGATCTCCTTTAATTCTCACCCACGGCCCTATAAGGAAGGTATCCGTATTCTCTACATTTTGTAGATGAGCAAAATGAGATGGGGGCGCCTGGGTGGCTCAGTCGGTTAAGCGTCTGCCTTCGGCCCAGGTCATTATCTCAGGGTCCTGGGATCAAGTCCTGCATTGGGCTCCCTGCCCAGCAGGGAGTCTGCTTTTCTCTCTCTCTGCTCATGCTCTCTCTGTCTCTCTCAAATAAATAAATAAATGAGTAAATAAAATCTTTTTAAAAAATGCGATGCCATGACCAAGGTCATATCGGTACTAAGTGGTGGAGTCAGGATTCAAAGCGCAGAGGGAGGATGCTAACAGGATCACTCCTAAGGGCTGTCAGGAGGATTCAGCATACACCCTACAGCACTGCTGGTTTCTGGCAGCTGTGGTAAGGCTCTCTAAATATGTGTGGCTATTTTTGTTATTAGTAACCTTGTTGCCTGCCTTGTCTCTAATTAAAAAAAAACCCAAAACGGATGGTTTTGTTTTCTATTTCCAACTAAAAGCAAACTCGTTCAGTGCAGTTTACATGAAGAGGATGAAATTAAAGGGGCACAAACCTGGCATGGGCTCTTTCCTTATACAAATATTTTCTCTAAAAATGAAAATAGGAGCTAAAACTCCCTATAGGCCCAATTTACGCTCTAATCTTCATTTTAGTAACCCTTTCTATTTCATAAATAACTCCTAATGCGGCAGTAATGTGTTACAGTGACAGCTGATGCCCGAGAAGCTGTCCTCTCTGGGCCTGACATTTTCTTTAATGGTAATTCTCCTAGTTAATGTAAACAACGTGAAATGTTTGGCATGTTTCCTTCCACAAATGGCGGTGGAGAGGAAATCCAAGCACTGTAAAGACGGCAGACTGATCCGGTGTAGCTTTGACAAATCCGTGGCTGTTTGCTGTTAGAAGGGGAAATCGGAGGTAAATACCTGGGAACTCTTCCCTTTGGGACAGTTGATAAATTGGAGGCATTTTCTGATTGTGCTTTACTTTAGATTAACAGCCTGGAAGGCTTCAGATTTAAAGAGCAAAGTTATGTATCATAGAAACAATAGGAAGGCATGCTTAGCTCCCTGTACCCAAATACTGCAAGTGATCATTGGTAGCTCCATCTTTGAAACCATATTCCTCCTAGGTTCTCCACTCTGATTTATTTTATTAGCCACATACTTGTGCAGTATTTTCTATCGGAAAGTAATCTTGGAGGTAGTTCGTCTGATGTCGGATCACCAGTTGACAGAGGAGGACACAGGATCTGGCACGATAAAGGCCTTCCTTCAAGTCTTGGGGTTCCTAGTGTGTTGCCTTCCTGAGTATACCCCACAACTCTTAGATGCTGTGCACTTTCCTTCATTATATTTCTTGTCCTGTCCCCCCACCCCCCCACCATTTCCTGCTAGAACTGATCTCTTGGCATCCCTAACACATTTATGAAATTCTTTTTAGAGATTAGATTGATGTCAAAGACTGACCTGCTGAATCTCCCCCTAAATTGAGAAGCAAGTTTTATATATCATGTAGCTCATGAATTAAGATCTCTTGCTCTAAATGACAGTTGGGGAAAAAACTGTTATACAGTATTTTGCTTGTGAATATCTGGAAGTAGATATGTGATTGATTCACTGATAGACCATTTCTGAAAGCAGTTCTAATGATGGACTTATAATTAATTGCATCCATCATCGAAAGCCTAAACTACCCCCTCCCTAAATTAAAGATAAATGAAATAAGCTATGCTGAATGTATATAAGCTGACAAATCTGAGGGAATTTAATGAAACTCTAAATTACTGCAGCCAACAGATAAGAGAAAAAGGTTTCTTTGTTACCGGTTAGAACACTAAAAAAAAAAAAAAAATCCAAAAAAGATAATAAAAGAAACAAAGATCTGTGGCCCATGTATCAAACTAAGTTATTGAAACTTTTTTTTTTTTTTTTTTTAAGATTTTATTTATTTGACAGAGAGACAGCAAGAGCGGGAACACAGCAGGGGGAGTGGGAGAGGGAGAAGCAGGCTTCCCGCCGAGCAGGGAGCCCGATGTGGGGCTCGATCCCAGGACCCAGGATCATGACCTGAGCCAAAGGCAGACGCTTAACGACTGAGCCACCCAGGTGCCCCTTGAAAGACTTCTAATAAGTGTATCTGTCTCATTCCCTGGTTATTGTTGACTCATATCAATCTTGTTAGTGCTCTTGGATGAATAGTAAAAGTAGGGATTGTCTTGCAGTAAAGCTTATATTATTGCTGTTGTGACATTTTAGAATTGATGTGACCTTATTTCCAGGCCGCTGGGGGCTCTGTACCAAATTTAGTTCATTTAAATGAGCTATTTGGAATGCAGTTCCTTATGGATAAGTAATTTTATCAGTTAGTACACTTTTAGCTTTATATAAAAGACCAACTGAGGGTGACTTAAACAGTGGGTATTTGTGATCACCCCTAATGAGAAGTCCTGAGGGAAAGCAGCAGGGTTGGCCTCTTGGGGGGCCCAATGATTTCAGTGCAGTAGCTTGGCATTTTTCTTGGCTTTCCCTTCCAGGATTGTAAGGTGGGTGAAATATTTGAGTATCTTAGCTTTGTTTAACAATACCCAGTGTCCGGGGGTTGTGGAGGGAACAAAAACCCAATATCCAGCTTCCTGTTAATCTTGCAAGAAGACTACTCCTAGAAGTCTTTAGGTCTCATTGGTCAGACTTATCACTGATAAGGTGAATGGAATTCCTGGGATTCACTCAAGCAAGTCAGGACCTGCCCAGACTCTCACACAGTTCACGCTGCCTGCTATCTAAGATTCGTGTGCCAAGGAAAGAGCGGAGGGAAAGGCTCCTTGGATAGGCAACCGACACAAATCCACTTGCATGGGCTCTTGCAGTTCACTAGGAAGGTGGCTTCAGTATTTTCTGTTAGTCACTTGTTTCATTTCCTCCCTACTTAGTGAGGTGAATGTGCTCGTGTATTAACTCCTCTTTTACTTTTTTGCTTTTAAATTTGATTAAGCTTGATACAGTCTCTGTCTTCACCAGGACCCTGTCTACCAGTGATGATGTGGAAGACCGGGAGAATGAGAAGGGGCGCCTCGAAGAAGCCTATGAGAAGTGCGACCATGACCTGGATGAGTTGATTGTGCAGCACTACACGGAATTGACGACAGCCATTCGCACGTACCAGAGCATCACAGAGCGCATTACCAACTCCCGAAATAAAATAAAGCAGGTGGGCCTCCCTTTCCTCTTGTGGTTGTGGTTGCTGTTAGGCCAAGGGTTTGTAGCGTGTAGAGGTGCCAGGATAGTGGCGACTGGCCTTAGGAGGGACTCATAATGACACTTTCCGGGGATTTTGCAGTGTCTGGAAAGCCTGGCTGAACAGGATCACGGAGGGCATCGTAGGCTTGCCTCCTCCCTGTGTCTTATCCTTGGCTTCTGCTGCTACTTCTCGTAGCGGTGTAAAAGGATGTGGGGGTGGTGGCCCCAACGTGAGGACATTGGAAAGGGGAGCTGTTCTAAGACTCCAGGGCCTCTTACTATTAGAGGCTCCCATTTCCATGTATCCAGTGTATTTCATATGCTCCTGTCACACATTGTGCACGTATGTGTGTCTCTGTGTGTGTGTATTGCTGTAACAGTTGAAACATTTTTTGAAATTTCAGCTGTGAGTATGTCCCCTCGTTGAAGTTGGCTGTGGCTTCTCTGTAGTGATTAGACATTCTAGGTATGATCTTGACAAGGAAATCCAACTTACAAATTACCGAAACATCTATTTATGAATACTGAAATTCTTGAATGCCCTTCCTTAGTTGTGACAAGCATGCAGTAACTTCTGTTTTGTTATTTTCCTATATTTTGCAGCGATTTCTTGTTCATTCTTTGTTTCCTCCTCTCTTTCTGCTTCTTGCCCGCTTTCTCTTCCTGCCCACCTCCTTTTGTAGTGGATCCTTGAAAAGTTCTTGGTTCCTGGCTACCATGTTTTTACTGCCTAAAGGACAAAGTAGGTTCATAAGGGGTATTTTTGTATTTGGTGAAGGGATGAACTGACCGTTGGAGGCCGTCGCATCATAGTCCTGGGGTCTCTGGCTGTGTGTTTGGAAGATCAGTCCTTTAATTCCTTTTCGTACCACTCTGCTAACAGTAATTGCTACCACTTAGCACTGCTTCTTTGCCAGGCACGACCGTTCCTCACTCAACAGATTTAGGATTTGGTTGCTAGTGTCCCTAACTCTAAGCTCCTCGCTGCGGGTTTTCAGACCTATTTTAGGCAGTAACCGCCCTTCTGAAAATGAGCTATCTCCCTGACGTCCTAGTTGCCTCTTGTGTGGGGTTGGGGTGAGAGATGCAGAGCCTCATGCTTGGTCCCCTCCTTGAAACTCTGCAGCTGCTCCTCCAGCACCTCTGTGTGGCCACGGGGCTGCACAGACCATTAGAAATGTGCTGGCTGTGCTGTTGATCGGGAACTCCCTGGACTGCACCTGCCCAGTGATAGCTATGCTCACAGCTTTCCCACGTGTCCTGTTGTCTGTCTTCTAGACCTTACCTTACAATTTTCTAAGCAGATACTTAAATTATTCTTCGAAAAATGCTGTTGACACATGAGTTTCAGCCTCTAAGAGGACCGTTTGAGAATCAGCAAGCTCTTAACCTTTTTTGAAGCAATTTGATGACCTCTTTACATTGTAAAATTAACTGAGCATTTTCAAAAGGAATACTATAATTCTTCGCCTTTACAATTGGTGAGTTCATCCTGTGGATTTATCTGTGAAACTAGGTAAAGCTAGAGATCAGTTCAGAGTCAACTGTAGTCCATTTTGACCCAGTATACTAAGCTCAGGAGGAGTCAGAAAATGAATGTCTACTGCTGCTGACCTGGCTTTGCCCCGGGTAATCACAGAAAGGGTGAAGGTTTGGTATTTCTCTTTTCTGATTAGTCCGCTTGGCTGAAAGGACTTTGTCCTGATGTCAAGGGAAGCCTGTAGTGGTTTCTGCCTTGGCTCCCTATCACTTGGAGTCGATAGCCTCTTTGCCCAGAGAGAGTTGGCTGGTATTGAAAAAGAGTCTCCTCTTGATGATTTCACATTTGTTTTAGCAGCCACAGTCTGTTCGCTGTCCTCATTTTTAATTACGCTAGAATTTTGAGCAAAAGAAAACAAAAAGAAAACTTTGTGTTTATTACATCAGACAGTTGTCAAAGTCAGTCTCACCTAATTCTATTATGAATTAGCTCAATATTGGGAAGAGAAAGGGCTCACGCTCCTTTCAAAAAAGCCTCTAATAATTGATAAATGAGAGAAGAAAAATGTTGGAAAAATGAAAGTGAATTTGTTTCTATTGTATAAATTGACAATTTTGTACTGTGAAAGGCCATTTCTTATCACCAGGGAAACACTGATGTTTTCTTACTAGTCTTTCCCTGTCATTTTTGGTTTTTAATTGCACTTTGGATTATATACAAAATATAGGTGTGTATAGTTATGCATATTTTAAAATAGAAGTGGGGATGATTGAATCATCATGGGGCTATATTATTTCATATCCAGCAAGATAGTGAGAATGTGCAGATGTGAGTTGAAATCTTCTTTCTGCTCTCTGCCAAAAGAATGTAATGAGGATTCATTCAACAAATATCTGTGGAGTGCTAGCCGTGTGCCTGGTTCTGTTTTCATTGCTGGGGTTGTACCCACGGAAAACACCTATCCCTGTCCTCAGGAACTGACGTAAACAAAGTAGGTGATATTTAACCACACGGATTAAGTCTCTGTGTGAAGTGTCTGTTTTGTGCTGAGCATTGCTCGAGGTTCTGGGGTATGGAAGTGAATAAAACAAATTCCTGGCCTTGTGGAGTTTACATTCTGGTTTATATTCTAGTCAAGGGAAACCCACTATAAATTAGTACAGTGTGGTATAACAGATGGTAAGAAGTGCTCTGCTTTCCAAACCAAAAGCAAGGAAGGGAGAATTGCAAGTTGCTGCTTAAATGGATTGTTCAGGGAAGGCTTGACTGAGGTAACGTTTGAACCAACACTTGAAGAAAGTGAGGGAGAGTCAAGAGAAGCTCCTTAGGAAGAAGGAATGGCAGGGGCAGAAAGGTCCTGAAGCAAGAACATGACTAGAATTTGGGGGATGCAGCGAGGAGGCCAGTGGGGCTGGAGCAAAATGGGATGGGGAGAGGGGAGAGTGGCTGGAGAGACAGAGAGCTGGTGGATGAGGTGCAGTGTGGTGGGTCAGGTCACATGGGGTTTTGGTGACTGTAAGGACTTGTTTCATAACTCGAGTATGGTGGGAATCCATTGTAATAAACTTTTGAACACAAGAATGGCATGATACAACATTTTAAAAGGGCTAATCTAGCTGCTATACTGAGTAGATTTTAGTGGGGACCAAGGCAGATGAAGACGTTCATATTCATGCTTTTAGAGCTTGAGAACACAGAACTGTTGACATTTCCCATTATGATAATAGTTTCATATATGGATTTACATTGGTAGAATCTAAGTCCTTGAGGATAATGAGATGACAGATAAGAGTTAACTCTTTTCCCAGATAGGTCTATTGGGAATTTTTTTCTAGATTAAAAAAAAGACATGTAAATAAAAGTGTGTATGATTGATCAGGTCAAGTAATGTGGATAATCAGAATACTTAGGCTATCCTATTACTGTTGAATGCATATTGGTATCAGTCAGAATGCCATGTTACTGCACTAGAAAACCTCAGAATCCGTAGGTTCTGCCAGTCTCCTAATAATGACTGTTATAGCAGCACCACCAAAATAGATGGATATGAATGGGTACAAGCTGGGGACTTGGGTGGCACAGGTCATACTTGTTGGTCTTTGAATTGGAGTGTTTGCTCTGTGCTGTAGGGGGTGGATGAGAGGACATCAGATTTCTTTAAAGACACTAAGTATCTGTCTCATGTTTATCCCAGGAGCTGGTAGGCTGAAGGGAAAACATACTTGTCTCTGTTGTGAATGTGCACACTTTACATTTCACCCCAGTTTCAGCTGCCCCGTTGGTACTAGATCAAGCCTGTAACTCATTTTTCTTGGCTGTAATTAGAAATAACTATATGTGATTATTCAAATGAAGTTGTTAAGGGCTTAATCCTTGAGTAGTGCAACATTCATTACTTAACATTTAAAATAATTTTGTGGCTTTTATATGAAAATATACCTTGAGAGACAGAATAAGAACAAAGAATAACCTTAATACAAAAAAAAAAATGTCACAGTAGAGCAATATGGATGTGGTAGGAAATTATTTACAGCCCATATGTAAGATGGAAAAATCCTGGCTGCTTCTATGAGAAAGGGAGAAAAGCCTAGAAAGGGACATGCTAAACAATGGGCAATAATGTAATAGCATAATTTAAAATCTAGGCAGTAGAGTGCATGAAGGCAGTCACAAGAACTATGAGGTAGTGTTTCCATTAAATTTAACTGTATCCACATCGGTGTACTATATGCAACTTAAAGGAGAAGTACTGCCCTTGGAAGGGGTTCAGTGGAGCCTCTCAGACAATTTAAGACCTTAGAATGACAGCTAAAAAAACAAAAACAAAAACAAAACAAAAACAAAACGAAGGGAACAAAAGCATGGGAATAAGTTTGAGGGTAATTTAAAAGTGATCGGTCGTTCTAAAGGGCTTTAAAACAGAACAGCGAGTAGTGTTTCTGCACATCATTCCTTCCAAGCACTTTGTATAAGACTTTGGAAAAAAATGGGTTTCGACACATGTCAGGAGAATACCCATGAACATGTTTGTATGTAGATTTATTTTTAACTACAGAAGAGAAAATAAATTTTGTACTTTTAGAATTAAGAATAATGTTGACTGTTATGTTAATTTCATTTATCATCCCTTGCTTATGGGGAACTTTGTAGACTATTTCTAGTCTGTAGTTTCAGTGGGGTGCTTGCCTATCTGTTGTGCTTTATTACAGATACTATGCACACCCAAAGGCATTCCCTCTCCCCATTATCCTTGAACAAAATCAGAAAAGCTTTGAATTTGATGACGTGAAGACTGTCTCCATCAGCCTCTCTTACATATATCTGTTCCTCTTTTCACAAATGTGACCACGTTGTTACACGGAGGCCCTGGGTAGTTTTCCTCTCTTTATCGTCCCCAAGGCAGGGTTGCGGATAGCTCTGTTTCTGTGCTTTCTGTATCATCTCGCATACCCACTCACAATAACCTCTTGGGGCCTGTTAACCTTATTTTC